CAGTGCACCCAAGCACATGAATATTTGATAAATTCAAAACGTTCCTTGGATGCGATAAGCCTTCGAAGATGTTCGTTTTGATTAGATTAAGTAACTCTGAATATTGCTGATTTGGTATGGTTTTTGGTCAATACTCCATTTGATTCATCCAATGCGGGGTGAAAGTATCACTCGAATTATGGTATTGTTGAGTGATTTTGCATGAAACTGTAGTGTTATGGATAGACATATTGTAAGTTGGGTCAATAGCAACAATTTTTAACGTTGTATTGACGTTTTGACAAATAAAAGTACAAGTAAAACATATCCATCCCTTGGACCACAAGTAGTAGCAAGGAAGTTGCCCAGTGGAATTATTATTCATTTTTGCTGGGAGGACAGAGAATGATATAATTTGAATAAACTGTGATGCAGCTTAACCAACTGATAAAAATCACTTTCAATACGAGAGTGCACGTCGCGCATTCTTAGATGAAATATTTGATCTTTTATTTGACTACATTGAAGAGAATTCAACACAAATTCCGATAGATCCAGTAAATATGGCCGTAGAGATCAATCAGTGTATCTAATATGCTTAGTTACGCATTCAACTTTGAGCAATCACACAAATTTTTTGCTTGTTTCATTCAAACATTTCGTTCAGGTGATTGAAAGACGTTCGCTAATTTTGAAATCAATCAGGTTCGGTGAAACAATAAGCAGAGAAAATCGAATAAACTAAATGAATCTAGAATAGAAACGTGAAACTCACTGACTCTAATTGATGGTGAATATGTCATTTAAAAGAAAACACACACATTTTATGATAGTGTTCAAATGTTTTAGATATCTCCGTTCTCTTATTACATACAAATGATATCAAATGAATATGTTGATTGTACATGCGTTCTTAATATGATCATCACATATATTAGTGACAAATAAACGATGCCAAATGTTTTTCGTTTTCACTGCGGTTAAAATTTTCATCAAGGTTTATTGCGTAATAAATTCAGTCAAGCAGACGAATGGACGCCTTCGCCATTAATATCTATACCAAAATATAGAGAAATGTACGTGTAGATCACACACACACGTAACACTTGTTTGTGTACGATATGTGTTTTGGAATATATCGTAGGCTAACATTGTTTTAGGGACAAAATCAACTTTGTCGACCTGAGGGTACACTGAGGGTACAGGTTAGAGTCGGAAGTCTAGGCAACTTTTCAGGTGCTCGGATACTGCCAATTGTCACGAAAATTTTCATCAATCCCATTTAAAGTTTCATGCATACGTATACCATTAAATGGATTCACGTAGACGATAGATAAATAGTTGTTTATAGATTATCATTGATCTGATGAACACGCGTAGATGTTTATACAATAAACTTCTGATAAAGCTCAATCGAAACAGTCTCAGATGCAATAATACGGTACAGCAAATATTGTGTGTTCAATGTAGACTTTATCGCAAAAAATGCAGATGAATAAATAGATAAACAACTGAAAAAACGGGCATGTAAACATACAAACAAATTGACATTGGAATAATAAAATAACAAACGCAAACAACGGAGTCACGTGGAAAACATTGTAATATTAAGGAAATACCAATTCATTGGTGAATTTCTAAAGATACCAAATGCTACTCATGTCAACAAAACATATGATAGGAATTGGTCAATGTCAATTTGAAGTTAGTGGCATACTCGGCGATTGTGCGATTTCTCGTTTTCGCCCCAGTTCACGCAGCAACTTCTCACGTTCAGCGCGTGTCAACACCGGCACACGCCATTCCGGATGCTCACCACAAAACAATACAACGAAATATCCAAAATATGCAATTTTCAATCATATACAACGAAATTATCCACAAAATTTTTTGGATAACATGTAGGTAAATCATATTTCATCGTGGTACATACGTTTTTCTAATGATATCGTCGTCGTTTCATCACTCAATGTTTGATTGCGAATATTCGGTTATGAGGCAGGCTGGATTCAGGCTCAGGATTATGGTCAGATCAGTGGTTGAGGAATAAGCTCAAATTGGGTGGTGAGGTTTAGCTTCAGGCTTAGATGAATGTGGGACCATCAACGATGATAGGATTCGCGATCAAAAGCCATACGTATCACCACATTACATTCTGATCAACACAATCAATTATCAGTGATGGCCTTATCAGCAGTGACAATTAGCAATCAAAATTTGTGCATATGATAGGAATTGGTCTATGTCAATTCGAAGTTAGTGGCATGCTCGGCGATTGTGCGATTTCTCGTTTTCGCCCCAGTTCACGCAGCAACTTCTCGCGTTCAGCACGTGTCAACACCGGCACACGCCATTCCGGATGCTCACCACAAAACACCAACTAAAAATTTCATAATATAGAGGAGATAAACATATCAGTAGTTGGCTTTAGTTCATTGAAATCTACTCTATTTACAATCGATTAGTCTCTTCACATCTTGTTGCGACGGAGCGCAAAAGAGACGATTCGTGAGGGACACCAAAGTGATATGTAAATTCAACCTTTAGATCTGTACGTTAGCTGTATATGTATAAGATATACACGGATATCATGCACTATCGATTCGGATGGTGAAATGTAACTTTCGTATATCTCACTTGGAGGATCTCCTCCCTTTTGTGTTTGTATGATATGAATACTTTGTGTTTCGATAATATAAAACAGTGTTATTACAAAATAAACGCCGAAACATCTCATGTCAGTTTCAATCGTTCGTCCAAATTCTATCAGGACAGCAATTTATTCTCACTTATAATATTGTGAATTTTAACTCGCATCTGATTTTTCACAGACTAATGCCTGTGAAAAATGTGACCAGTAAATGGACTTTATAAACAAGCAATAAGATTGAATGACTTGAACAAAATGCTTCCGCTTCAATGCTGGCAAATGTCATTGTTGTCAAGATTCAGTATGATCACTAATTGTAAGATCAGCGATGGCTAAAAGAAATTCACATTGAGAGATGAGAAATTGCGATGTGATGATGTGAAAAAATGCAAAATATTCCCACCATTAGTTTCTTCTGTTCTGAAATATTTTTATCATCGAAATCCAGCGGAAATGATGCTCTGAAATTTTGACCCATGAATGGCTCGTAAATTTTCAACAGACGCATCCATGCCTGAAATAGTCGAACTTTATTCGTATTCTGAAGAGTGTTTCGAAATTCAGAACCGCTAAAAACTGATTGATAGACGATGTCGAGATCGTTAGACCATTATTTTTCCTGATTTTCTCAGCAAGATCAATTGGCTTATCATTAAAGATCAATGAGCCCCATCTACCACTATCGACGCTTAAGCTAACCATTTGAGCACTTTAACGTTTTGATCTAACCTTTCCAATTATGCAAAATTGTATCCACTAAAAAATTCGTTGAAAAATCTGACTTTAATCGGTTTTTAGCATAACCTAGCAGAACCAAAAATGCAAAAATGTCAACAATAAAGAATTTTCATATTAGATAACGTTAAGATGGTATCTGTAAACATTGATCACAAACAAATTTCTCATGATCCTTCATCTTTATCAATAACAAACCAATTGAGAACACCATTGTTTTGCAAACTGAACAGCCTAATTAGTAACGATAATCACGATTTCGTTGTTTTGAATCGACGTTTTTTTGGTGTCAGTGACATATCACCTACATTAAATGCATGATAACTGTATCTTCTATTGTATGCACATATTTGGGTCACATACTCCATCTCGTCGAATATCCAAATAAATATCTCCTCAGATCGGATAAACTTATTAAAGTGGATTTGTTTAATGATGTGAACAGTGTCTTATAATCGCGATTTTCAGTTGGTTCGATGTAGACGATAGCTATATGTCATGGCAATGTTCAGTTGAATTCAGCAACAAATAACTGCTTCTTCGATCATGGCAAATCCAGATAAAGGACAGAAAAATCTCTTTTAATATGAATTTTCTTTTCAGGGTATTTTCTCGGAACTACAATGAAGGTCTATACAGCCACTTTTATCGCGTCATCGTTGAGTGGCATTGCATTGGTGCTATCGCTGCTAGCCATCAGCCAGTTATGTCAAGATGTTAACTCAATATGGAATGAACTGGATCGTGAAATGATGACTTTTAGAGTAATTTTTATGCTCAATCTCCCTAAGAATTACTCGAAATTTTCAAAATTTTTTGATTTCAATTGATAAATATCTAACTCAGCATTCGTTATTTGGGGAATCCACTTCATTTTATTTGATGCATTCAGGATGTCACAAATGATCTGTGGGCTGATATAATGAAACTTGGCAAACAGTCGGGAAGAACGAGACGTCAAGCTGGTAACAACGGAAGTCAGTTGATGACCACGATTTTCTGCTGTTGATCGCTTACATAGACCTCTGAATCTGTATTCTTTGCTTTCCTCGACTGCTTTGAATTTCATACACTAGTCGATTTCGGGCAAAACTTTCCCCAGCGAGCAGGGATTCAAGTCCGCAAACTACTACTCATCGGTTGGGTACTCCAACGCTCAGTCATGCTATCGAACATGAGCTAACCTATAATTTGGCTTAGATCTGATTATGTATTATGCTTCGGATTCACTAAGTGCGGAGAAGCGCCAGTTTCTAAAGGCTCACATTCCGAATTCCTCTTCGTTTCAAGAGAGTGACAACTCATTTTCCTTTAACGTTTGTTTAGTGAACCACTCAGATCAAAAAGGAATTCTTGCGAATCGTTGCCTCTTCCTCCCTTTCCTGTGTAATACCATTCTCATATACGATACAAAGTTGCTACACTCCAGAAATTCCATGCTACACTTGGCTCCAGGCTGAAATCAGCCTTAGTTCAGGCTGAATCCAGGTCGAGACTGGATCGAATTCAGACTAACTGAAATCATTCTAGAAGACGAAAAAGTGAAAGCTGGCCTCAAATCAAAAGGCGAAGTGGTCGCTGAGAGCAGTAATGGTACTGATGATCGTCAAGAAACGGCACGTTCGGCTGATGTGAGCGGAAGCACGACCAGTTCGGATGCTAACAAATGCGTTGGTAAGCACTGCTCAAAGCAACCAATCAAGGGATGTGTTGGCTCAGCATGTGCTTCATTCAACCAAGCATCTGGAGTTGGTGGCCTTGGAAGNGATGAAGCGCCAGGTACTCCATACGATACACAAGCTCCGGCCGGACCTCCAGCTGGTAACGGATGTAGTAAGTTTTTGTTTGTCTCTTTATTTGAAGACTGCTCATCAAAGTTCTGTTTCAGCCGGGAAAAATAGCTCCGGCTCTGATAATTGGTGCAGAATTCAGAGTATCGATTGGAAAACTGTGCAGCGGCTGGAAATTTCAATCTGCTTTCTTGATAAACTCGTAGAAACGAAGATTATTGAGGAGATGAGAATGATCATTGATAGTTGTGGATCAAAACTTTTTAAAATGAATTCGAATTTCCACGATCTGTTCGGAGTGAGACACGTAAAAGTCCAATTCATAAGTATTCCATCAGCACTTATCCATTGCTTCAGACTGTCAGATCAAAAACAACAAATGCCCCGCGGGTCCACCAGGGCCAAAGGGAGCATCAGGACCACCGGGTAGCAATGCACCACCTGGAATCGATGGAGTTGCTGGTAAAGGCAGCGAAGATATAACTCTCGATCTACAAGCTACTCCGGCTTGCTACTATTGTCCAGCAGGTTTCTTATCAATAGTTTGTCCGCACAATCGATCCTAGTTTATCGGTAGCGTTTCACTTTTTCTGCCAACGGATAGCAAATTTTGGCCCACTAAATGAAGTGTGACTGAATATTTTGATAAGAAATTTTGGACTACTTAAGAGAACAATTTCTTCAGGACCAGTTGGACCACCGGGAGCTATGGGACGTTCAGGACCTCGAGGAATGCAAGGCGCGAATGGAATGTTAGGACATCGCGGGATGGATGGTCAACCTGGATTCCCTGGAGACAGAGG